GACAGAGGTAGGACGCAAAGAAGGAAGGACAACAGAAAAGGAAGTAAGGGAAATATAAGGATGAATCACAAAAATTGCTTTGATTCCTTTCTCATTACCATTACCATTAAATCTTGAAATAAACTTAAAAATGTTCAACTTTTCCAGATTGAAACTTGAACCTAATCCCTTCACAATAAATCATATTTCATTTTTTTGTCTAAAGTAACTTTGAGATCCATAAAAATAAAAGTCAGCATCTATAATGCAGTAGATCTGCTCTTTCATGGCCGCTCCTCAGGATACTCAGCATTTGCATATTATGAGGTGTAGTAGTAAGGGATGCAGAGTGGAAAAACCTGTCTAAATGTCTCCTCGGGCTCTTTTGCAAAAAAGCCTTCATAGAAAGAAGAGGTGGAAACAAAGCAATCCTCTTTCAATTGATGCATTATAACAAATCCGAGTACCAGTTTCACTATTATGTTTTGAAATCATATCCCGCACAATGGAAGACCTTTAAAGTGCGTTGTAGTGGGCAGGGTGCATTGATAGTAAACAGCAGCGCCCTCTTTCTCACAGCTCCTCTCCGTCACACTCAGCTGGCACTGACTCCTAATCTCCTTTTATCTGCTTGTCCTCCGTCTGTACCACTCGGCCTCACATTCAGCGCCCTGCTGTGCCTCATAATGCCATCTGTTGACTTTGGCTGGAGCTGGCAGTGGATGAAGGAGGGAGTGGAAGGAGGATGGCATCGTGTACAATCACCTCTCCACATTCGCTGGCGACAAATCAACCTTTCTGGAGCCATAATTACCAAAGCTGTAGCCTAACAGAGGACAACATCACCAATCAGAGCCAGCCCAGAATGTCTAACCACTGAAAGTTAGCTTTTTGTTGTTGAGCTCAGAGAACAGATTTGTACTTTTTATTAAAAATATAATTTTTCTAATCAGGGCAGCTCCATTTATAAGGCTAGACTCTTAAATATTGCAAAGGTAAGCTTGTATTCCTCACATCGCACTCCACAGTTTGTAAACCCTCAAAAATAATAAATGATTACTAATAATTATTTGATAAAAACAGCATAATCTCACACTGAAAAAAAATTATACACATACATATAAAATCAATCTTTAAAATGAGTCAATTCTTAGTTGAACCCACAAATAATATCTTTGATAAATTTTGGTGCCACCCAAGCTATTTACACAAAGGAAAAAAAAAACATTATTTTTCAGCATCTGATACCAGGTTTGACAAGAAAAAAAACCTCTGAAATTAAATGTCAGAAATCGGCCTTAAAAATGAAACAAAATGTTGCAGCGATTCTTTAAGTGTGAAATTATTTTAAAGCAAATA